TATTTGGCGCACACAACAGATACCCCTAAACTTGAATCTTTTCTTGTCCCCAAGGAAAGGGAGGAACTAAAAACAAAACAACTAGCTAGAGATGCAATTCAGAAATTATCCCACAATTTTAACTCAAGGTGAAACATAAATAATCATTAAATTCATTCTCAATTCAATTGCAAGTTCATTCTCAAATGGATTTCACAATATTTATGTGTGTGTAAATGATCTTTTTACAAAGAATATCATAGAATCCATATGAGATTATGCCAATACAAAATTTAGCTAATTGCTAGAATTCCATAAGTTTGCTTTTCATCTCTCTCCCCACTAATATAAACTAGCATTTATTCAAAGATCAATAGGTCCTTTTTAAGCTTTTAGTGCAACGGTAAGGTCTAGGTATTGTAAAGGATATAATGTGGCTCAATATCACCCTAAGCACATAATTATTCTAAGACCTATAAAGCCTTTTTTTCTTTCACTAATTACACCATTTTCATCAATTTTTTTCTTTTTGTTCAACACTTCTTCTTTTTCTCTTTTTTTTAATCACAATTTCACACTCCCAATATTATTTCTTTTTATTATAGGTGGTGCGGTGAATTCTATTAATTTTTGAATTTTTTTTCGGCAACTCCACCTTTCTACCTTTTTAAACATTTAGCTCAATTTATATTTCCTAAAACAATATACATGCTTAGGAGTGAGGGCTGCAAAATTGAAATTTTATTTTAAGGCTAGGCTTATTATTATGTACTAAAACAAAGAAAAGGAAAAACTAGCTCAAAAAGGTATACTAGGGATAAAAGTTTAATAAGGTTAGCTTAAAATGCTCAAACGGTCTAAAGATGGCCTAAATCATGTCCCATTTTAAGTGTCATCTAAAATTTTGCCCCGAGAGAGAATCCAACAAAATCTAAAATTCTTGACTTCAACAAAATTAACACTAACATAATCTTTCTCTAAATCATATAGCAATTCTAAGCAAAAAGATTCTTAAAGCACAATTTATGGAAATCGCATTCTACAATTAAACTAACAAAAAAATCACAATCACTCAATTCATGCCTATATCAAACCATGAATCAAAATAGGTCCAGTAAACTATTAATAATTTTTGTAAGTCTAACAGTTTTACACAACACGACCCCTATACAGCGAAGTGACTCGGAGTGAAAGTCTAAGAGATGTCATTACCTATGTTACAACAAGTCAAGATATGCTGGGCAATACACTTGAGCTAATCACTTATCTGCAAAAAGAAGATAAAGGGGGTAAGTCTCATAGACTCAGTGATCATCGGCTCCATAAGCAGGGCATAGATAGTAAACAAGCTAAGGACAAATGATTTGAATATTAAAACATAAGAGCATATATAAACAATTTAACTCAAAAGGAAGTTTTATGGCTTACATGAAAAAATAAGAATTTTAATGCAACATAATCCTTTAACAATAAAGGTATCAAAGTCAATGCAAGTGAAAGATCTTTACCCTTGAAATCACTTAACAGCTTAACTCAAATCAATCCAACATAAATTGGCATGCTTCTGTGAAATCAAGAATTATCAAAGCTTTTACACAAGCTCATAAATCATCTCATCCTCGAGGAATTAAATACAAATCATCGTATAAATAAAAAAGCTACAAAAAAACTCATAATTCTCGCCATGCGAAGGAATTCAAATTTGAAAACCCAAAGCGATATCACTCTCAAGTAGGTAATCGCAATAATCAACTCATGGACTTGTTTCCATGTAATAACAATCCAGTAGGTCCTTCTCCATCGGATTCTCACAACTATGGCAATCTTGACGATGTTGGTCGACATCGAAGAAATCAGGTGGTTGCAATCACGTATAACAACTTATGGCCTAGTCACATATACCAACTCGTGGCCTTGTCATATATATATATATATCACAGACCATGGCCCCAGCCATGTCTACCAGCTCATCAGGACCCAAAGGTTTTCTAGCTAGAGCTCACTTGTGCACAAGGGTCATACTATCTTGAGATGACATTCGATCTACTTTCAAATCTCCCGATTTGATAAAAGCATTTAAAATCAAGTTGGATTCTCAAAACGTTATTTTAAATCCATTTCAAATACCAATCATGGTAACATGATAAAACCCCATGTAAAACTTTATAATGTAAAACCTTTGCGTGAGGTTTAAATATCCAAACAGCATGGTGAGCATATAATTCATTCATGAATGCACATCACACAAACATATAAGGCACATTTTGACATAAACCATGGTAAAGAGCTTATTTCTCGGTTTTCTAAAACCCTTTACATTTATAGGTTATAAATATATTCAAACAATTTCAAAAGTCATGGCATTCACAAACCTAACATTCTACCAACTCATGTTATCCACAAATTGCATTTAAAGCAAACCAGCACATTTATTAATTGCATGTCGATATATAGTTATGTAAATTTTAAAATAGACACCCTCTACTCACTTTACAATAGCGAGACGCAATGACGCTATCGGTTCGGGTGCTTATCTAGGTAATTCTCCTTGCCAATCACCCATTATCTCCTCCGATACACCACCATGGCAAACCTTCCTCACTTACACACTTCCTAGCAACAATTTAAACTCAGCATACTTAATTATACACATATACGACAACACTTCAATCAATGAATCCTTAACCTAATTTCATATTTGCATCAACATTATTCATAATAATTTAACATGAAATCCACATACTTTCAACCGACCATAGCCAACACAACATAATGTACTCACATTGCATGCTTACCTTTCGATTTTAGCTTGAATTCCACATATAGTTTACAATGCCCTCACATCTTCGGTCACCATTGCTGCCACAACCATAAGCAATTAATATGCAATTAATACACATCTCGTTTCTCCTTTCTACTTGTGATTTCGAGATTAAAACACTTACCCATTAGTTATCTAGCTCAAAATCACCATGCATTCCAAGATCCACCTACATGCATGCATCCAGTTCTTGCATCCTTGAAGATTCTTGCTATTACAAGCAAAATCCCGCATTATAATCGGTTCACAAGGCATGCAT